ACCAGAAATCCACCGTTGAAATTAGGCGTGATACCTCCAAGATACTCATCGCACAAGGAATGCCAATTACCATCTGTCACACCAAAAATAACATCCCCATATACCGGAAGCCCAAATGTATGGAAACATACTCCAGTATAATAATGCACTTCCCACATGAAAGATGAAATGTGTGTTTCTCTAGTCTCCACCTCTCAATCAATGCAGAAATAAAGTTGGATTCAATGTTACAGTGCCCTTCATATTTCACTATGTAACTGAATCCATCTTTAGATAAATATGGCCAAACACGACTCTATATCTCTAACTTAGCGTTACGAATAAATGGATCTAATATACGGTCATTCTCCTAATTAAATAAATAATATACAAATTAAAATATAAACTAATACTAAAAGAAATAAATAAATAAAACATTCATAATAATTAAAATAACACAATTTAAAATTATTAACGTATCGACAAAATGACTCGAGATAATATTCTTATCTAAACGCTGCAACCTACTTTCCATTTTATAATTACAAAAAGTAATAAGAAAATTAATAAATTAAATAATAATAAAATAATAAATTATTAAATGACTATAATATAATAAAAAAATTTATAATTTCTAAAAACGATAGCAAAATTTACTTAAAGCTTGCTACAAGAATTGATAAGGAAGAAAATCAAATTTTTTGACGTGGTTTAAGTGTTGTATGAGAGAGTATTTATGGGAGGGAGGGAATGAGGGAATGAGGGGGAGGGGACGGGCGATTGGGTGATATTAAAGGGGTAGTGGTAATTTAATAAAAGGCGATGATACATGTCAAATTCTCATTGTGACGTCAACTCAGACAGAATCCCAAGAAGACGCGTTTCATGATCTGCGCCTTTCGTCCACGAAACACATTATATTATCACTCTGTCAAAAAGAAATAGTGTTTCTTGTTTGATAGATAATTATTTATTATTTGGGTGATTTTTGAGTAAAAACGCCTATGTTGTTTCTTGTTTGATTCCATTATTAACAATGAAAAACTAAAAGAAAATAATAAAAAAAGAAGCTAAATTTATTATCATCATTTTTCTCTTCTTTTTCCTTCATCTTCCTTGTTTGGATCGGATCTGGCATAGCTTAAACACATTAACAAGGCAAAACCCAAAGCTGTTTCACTTTCCTCTTCAAAAAAAAAACACCTCTTTTTCGTCTTTTTTTCTGGGTTTTCATGCAAGATTCCACCTTGCCCTCCATTGCTTTTGCTGTTTTATGATTTAAAGCTTTGGGTTCGCTCGGTGTTTGTTGAAATACCTCAATGGAATCACTTGTGAATTCTTCAGCAAAGAATCAAAAGCCAGGTCCTTCAACGTCCCATTTAGCCGATCTCAACAATGGTGTTCGGATCATCCGACACCCGAATGGCTCCACAGGGTATCAAAAGCATTCACAAGTGCAGAAGAATCATGAATCAATTGTGAAAAACAACGAGGTTCTTGTTGCTGCTAACCAGATGAAGAGCTTGACGATGGAAACCAAATCTTCTTCTTCGTCAAAACATCCCTTGGATGATACCGTATCTCAATCAGAATCGAGCTTTTGTCAGAGCCCTTCAACCAATATCTCCAATGGAAAACCGAGTTTCACCAACACTGAACTCAGTGAAAGCGGGAGCTGCAGTGGTGAAGTGAGTAGGAAAACAAGCATTTACAGAGGGAGCACCGGGAGTGATTTCAGTGAAGAGAGCAGTTCAAGTTGTTTAAGCAGTGCCATTTACAAGCCACACAAAGCCAATGATATTAGATGGGAAGCAATTCAAGCTGTGAGATCAAGGAAAGGGGACTTGGACTTTAAGCACTTTAGGGTGTTGAGGAGATTGGGATGTGGGGATATTGGTAGTGTTTATCTTTCTGAATTGACTGGAACCAGGACTTATTTTGCCATGAAAGTTATGGATAAAGCACTTTTGGCAAGTAGAAAGAAGCTTCTTAGGGCTCAGACTGAGAGGGAAATTCTTCAATCATTGGATCATCCATTTTTGCCAACTTTGTATACTCACTTTGAGACTGAGAAGCTTTCTTGCTTGGCTATGGAGTTTTGCCCTGGTGGTGACTTGCATGCTCTCAGGCAAAGACAACCTGGAAAGTACTTCTCAGAACAAGCTGCAAGGTTTGCCATTGCTCTCTTCTTATCCTTTATTTCCCAAGTTTCCATTGTTGGATTCCCAATTTAAATGTTGTATGTATTTAAAGGTGATCCATTTCATGTTAATCTGTGTTACTCGGACTTGAATCAAATCGAAATAGGATTCGAGTGTGTGTATCAAATACGAGTATGTATCGAATTTGGAAGCTCCCTAGAGAGTCTTAAACCTATTCTCATGTCCGGATATGATATCGTGTTGATGGGAATAAGTTTGACTCGTCGTCCGTTGACGGTTTATCCTTTTTAGTTTGGGTGGAGAATCGTGGTCGGTGAGTAAATGGCTGTCTGTAGGTGTTTCTTTATGGAAGGAAACATTGAATGGGGAAGGAGGAAAAGGAAAAAGAAGTCCCTCCTCTCCCATAATTGAGGATGATTTATAATGGTTCTGACTAATGATATTAGATATAGAGTAATTATAGCTTTTCGTAACCTGACAAGCTAAATAGATATGATGGTCAAATCTTTCGATTTCGCACCTGCCAGTAATTTTATCTTAAGAGTCTTGTTTCCACATTGTAACTGATTTGAGAGGTTGTTGATGACTTCTGATGGAAAAAAATATCTCGAATTGAATTTATACCCCTCCTCACTCTCGTTGTCAACAAGGTCTTCTCTGTGTTGATTTGCGTATCCCGGATCGATATCTTGTTGATTCAAGTATTCATGTTCTTGCAGTTCAAAGTAACTTGTGTTGTTCGACATATCGGATGATAAACGAAGTCCGTTATCAATGTATTGCAGTGAAAGAAGATTAAAAGCCAAGTAGTTTACTACTAACTAATGTGTAATCTGCATTATTGTTTTATGTTTCTCTGCAGATTTTATGTGGCAGAGGTTCTCCTTGCTATGGAGTATCTTCACATGCTTGGGATTATTTATAGAGACCTTAAGCCCGAGAATGTTTTGGTTCGAGAGGATGGTCACATAATGCTCTCGGATTTCGACCTCTCTCTTCGGTGTGCCGTCTCCCCGACTCTTGTCAAATCTTCGAACTTGAACCAGGAATCAAAGAATTCGGCCTACTGTGCTCAGCCAGCATGCATTGAACCAACCTGTGTAATGCAGCCGGATTGTATCCAACCTGCATGTTTTGGACCCCGGCTTTTTTCGAGCAAGGCAAAGAAAGACAAGAAGAGCAAAGTAAAGAACGAAACGAATCATCAAGTGAGCCCTCTCCCTGAGCTCATTGCAGAGCCTACCAATGCTCGATCGATGTCGTTCGTTGGTACTCACGAGTACTTGGCACCCGAGATCATTAAAGGCGAAGGCCATGGAAGTGCCGTAGATTGGTGGACATTCGGGATCTTTTTATATGAACTTTTGTTTGGTAAAACACCATTTAAGGGGTCTGGGAACCGAGCAACACTCTTCAATGTTGTTGGCCAGCCATTGAGATTTCCAGAGTATCCTAACGTGAGCTTTGCTGCTAGGGACTTGATCCGAGGTTTACTTGTAAAGGAACCGCAGCATCGGCTCGCGTATAGGCGCGGTGCAACTGAAATTAAGCAACATCCGTTCTTTCAGAGCGTAAACTGGGCACTCATTCGTTGTGCGAATCCACCTGAAGTGCCTAAGCAAGCAATGATGGACTTTTCAGCCACCCGAACCGACATCCCGAAGGTACCGACGAACAATAAGGTTCCCGGTTTAGACGTTAAGCCTTCGGGTAACTATTTAGAGATCGATTTCTTTTGATCATTGTGATAATGTCTCATTTCTCAGTTTGTATGGTGCTCCAATGGTACTCTTAAAGGTTTCATTCATGCAATGAAAGCTCAGTTCCATTGGTGGCATATGCTGTAAACTTATCTTTGAACTTGAAGCTCCATGAACGGCACTAAGAACTGCAAATGAATAGATTCGACGAATGCATTTGCTGATCTTATCTTTTGTGGTTCAAAATATTTCTTGCATTTGAAGTTTACTTATGTCTCATTCAATTCAAATTTGGGTAAAGTACACAAATGATCCCCGATTATAGGATATTGCTTTGTTGAGTCCATCTACTATTAAAAGTTACAAAATGATCATCTAATTATTCATTATGTTCTAAATTCATTATTTTTTGATAAAAAAATTGACGACAATCACGACTATCATATCTCATACAACAAATTAACATCTAGCTCAAACTGTCGTCATTTTTAATGAAAAATGACGAGTTTGGAACATAATAAATAGTCAGGTGACCATTTTGTAATTTTTAATAGTAAAGTGACTCAACAAAGCAATATCCTATAGGTAGAGAACTATTTTATAACTTTTAAAAGTCAGGGACCGTTTATGTACTTTCAATCGAATTAAGTTTAAGATTTTTTTTTCATTTCGAACTTTACGATCTTCAATTTATAGTTTTGAGTTCGATTTAAACTTAAAAATTTTAAACTCTCGAGTTTTCAAATCAAATCGAACTCCATTTTAAAGTTTTTGAATTGAGCTCAGCCATACTCGACTTATTTTTATACCTAGGAGTATGTATATATACGAAGCTTTGTCATTGAAAAAAGTGTTTGATGGTTGTGATAGTGGACGGAAAAGACGTCTTAGATGGACAATTGGCCATTTTAGCTCCATGATTAACATCTCGTGACCAAGTTACCGTCCGTCACGAAGAACAATTTGAATGCCCAACTATAAACGCCCACGTCAGCAAACTTTAAAAATGTGATGAAAATAACGAATTTCTACAACCCCACGCTCGCTTCAGCAGCACGCGCTGAGCCGCATACGTGGGATCTCTTGATTGGGTACCGCCTAATATTGCGTCTTTAAATATCTTTCAGTGCTCACATACCGAGTTCCCCGCGAGTGTCTTTCAGTCGCCTACGTTTTTCTTCTTCTTCTTCAATGGCGGATTCTAGCTACCTCTCCACTGTTTCCACCGAAGATGCGGCGAGTTTCGGATTCACGCGCGATGAGATGTACACCAGTAATCTCTCCGGCACCGTCAATCCGTACGACCGCCACTTGTTCCTCCGCCACAAGTCGTATACCGATTGGGCTTCCCGTGTCGAAGATGACGGCCTCCCTAATCTCCTCTCCTCCGCTCTAAAGTCTCGAAAAACGACATCCCGGTCAAGGTGCGTTCCTGTCGTTTCGGCCAACTGCCGTTTGCTTTTGAGGGTTCGAATTTTCAGTTAATCATAGCTTTTTTTCTCTTCAATATAGACACTGTTGACGGTTATTGACGGAGCGGAATCTGACGGTGATGTGCTGATTTTCCCTGAAATGATCAAATACAAGTGAGGTTTCCTTTTTCTTTTTCGATCTAATTTCATTCTGAATTTTGTTAAATTTCATTTTACATAACCGGTTGCTGAAATTAAAATGGATTTGAACCTTGCATTTTGTAACTTATCGAGTATGAATCTGCTTTTTTTCCTCATATGTCGACCGTCCATTAAACATCTGCTTTATCGGGAAATTTCATGTTTTTTATGATTAATACTTGGTTTAGTGGACAAGTGTGAAAAATTCTGAAGCTGATTGTGGAGTTAGATGTGATCATATCAGATGCAGAATTTTATGTTAGGGTGTCAACTTAGGAACTTATGTTATAAATTTAGGGAGCGAAATTATATCATCGATGGAAAATAACTAAATTATGTAGGAATTTGAAATTTCTGGGGGGGGGGCGACCTCACCCCAGCACGGCAGCACCCATGTTGCAATTTCTTTTCTTTTGTTTGAAATTTGATGAGAGAATGCTAAGATCATGAGTGATGGGAGGCTCTTTTATCATGTTGATGGAAGGGGTTTGACGGGCTCCGATGTGGATGGCGTTGTTGAGGATGTGCTTGTTAATGGCAAGGCATGGACTTCTGGAGCACAGGAGACGTTGATCGGTTCGTATATCTTCGTGTGTGCTCATGGTAACCTTGACAAGAGATGCTGTGTTTGTGGACCGGCTCTAATTCGAAAGCTGAACGAAGAGATCGAGTTGCGAGGACTGAAGGATCAGGTGTTTGTAAGTGCTTGCTCTCACATTGGAGGGCACAAGTATGCTGGGAACTTGATTATCTTCAGCCCCTATTCCGAGGAAAAGATTACGGGCAACTGGTAATACCGCCGTACCGGCATTACCGAGTCATTATGCTTCTATGCCTTCTAAAGGATTTTAATATTATCCGGACTTTTTCCTCGTACGGTTTCAGGTACGGCTATGTTACTCCTGTATATTGTGTGACGCATTGCATATTCCCTATTAAGCTTGCTGTTGTTCCTTTCTATGTCAACATCTGCAGGGGTCAAATGGGGGCCTCTACCGAAGGAGGCGAACAGAAGCTTCCGAACGGGACCGAAGCGAAGAAAAACGAGAAGCACGAAGAAACGACTGCTCGGAACACAACGGAAAATGCGGGTGGTTGTTGTCAGGGTGCCAATGGTTTCACCTGTTGCATGACTGCTAGCTCAGAACCAAGTGATAAAAAGAGAAGTGAAGAACCGAGAGATATGCCCGAAAAGAGCGGGATGTGCGAACTGACAAGCTGGATAGAATCATGGGAGCAACGTGACTTTCTTAAGGCAGCCGCTGTGGTCGGAGCTGTTGCAACCGTTGCCGTGGCTTATAGCTATTATAGAAGGTCAGGCTGAAGGAATCCTTGTAATCAAACGTTTTACCGTTTGCCTGTGTGTTCTATACCCTCGTTTTTTGTCGCCGAGGCGGTAGTTAATAAAAAAATCCTCCAAACCACAAACTTCTCCAGGAGATTCATACAAATAGCAGGTATAGGGATGTATTTCAGTTGATATATGTTCAGATTAAGGCTTTTGTGTGCTTCATCCCGATACAGAACGCAGTCGAATTGGTTCGAAACACTAATATCATCTCTTGATTTGCTTGGAGAGATTGCTTCATCCCGATACAGAACGCAGTCGAATTGGTTCGAAACACTAATATCATCTCTTGATTTGCTTGGAGAGATTGTTTCCTTTCAATGATTTGCAGAAGGGTTACTGGATGCTTGTGCATTGAAGCTTGTATTTTCCGGTAGGGATGACGATTTGCGGTTTTGGTTCGGGTACTGTTGGATATCCGAATCCGATATTCAAACCTGCATTACTTAACTGGTTGAATTATCGATTAACCATCGTAATCCTACGATCTCATACTCCGATCGTTTACGTTTCGTCCGAGCATAATCGGAGTGATCCCTCGGAAGAAGAAACGGCTTTTAATTTTTTTAAAATAAAAATTTGGATCTAAATTGATGTACATGTATAAATTATGTTACTTGAACTTAGATCATTGAAGGAGAACAGAATTCTCTTTATATATTGGGGTCACTCCAAAGATTCATGATTTAATATTTTTCTTAATATGATTAAATGAAATTTTAATATTTTCAAGCAGTGACTAATGACGCATTCTTTTAGAAACAATTAAATGAAGGTTTACTGATTTCAAATATTATCAAATAAAAATATAACCTTTTAAAACACATAAATAAACTATTTTTTCAAGCATACTCAAACAATAAAAAATTAAGGGTAAAATATTCATTTAATGCCTAAACTATCAGTTCTGATATGTCTTAGTATCTAAACTTTTAATTTTTTAAAAAAAGCATACTTAACGTTTAATTTTTGTTTCATTTTAGTATCATGTCGTTATTAATTTTGGTCTATTTTAATACCTAAACTTCCATTTTTTTCAAAACTTAACCTTAAATTTTAAATTTTGATGAGAGATGCTAAAACTACAAAACACTAATAATAAAAACATTACAAAAACAAAACATATGAAAAAAACATAATCCATTTCATATGTTGATTTTTTTAAAAAAAAAATTAAATAAAAACATTACAATTTAAACAATTCTATCGATGTCTCTTTCTTGAATGTGTTTCACGGGACGGTGATTGTCTATTTCGATGATGATTTCTTCTTATAGGTTGCTCTTCCTCTTCACTCTCATCATCATCAGCAGCAGCAGTAGTGTCACCAGCTACATTTTGTTGATAAGGGATGGATGACGATGTAGGACCTGTATAGAATAAGGACCCTGAAAGTGTATGACTAACCATCCCACCGCCCATAGAGAACTGCGAAAATTGTGAAAACATTGACATCGATGTCTGCGATCCATACTGAGGTGGAAATGTCTGTGGTGGAGCACCACCCGCCGAATAAGCAGCATATGAAGCCCACGTTGGATTTATAGGCATGGTAATATAATATCCGCCAAAAGGTGGCATAAAACCCTGAGGGGTTTGTACGTAACCATGCGGTGGTGCCATCTGAATCGGCAGTTGTGGCATCTGAATCGACTGTGGTGGCATTTGCGGGTGATGCAGTGGTATCTGAACCGGCGGTGTAGTCATGTATATTGGCGGGCTAGGAATATAACCCGGTAGTGATGGTGGATGTTGTGATGGTCTCGGTGCTGCAGCTGAGGATGAGCCGGAAGTGTTTGCTCTTTGTCCACGAGTCGAGGGACGATGATGTTGTGATGGTGGACGTTTTTCTCGACGCTGATGAATTCTCCCGCCTCGTGCTTCTTCGGAAAGTAAGAACGGCTTTCCGTTCATATTGAACCACGAAATATAGTCGTCCGTAACTGAATAACCAGTTTCATGTATGTACTGCCGAGGGGGAATGCGTTGATGTCGATCCTCCCACATCATTATCCACTCTTTGTGCTTCATCACCCAGTTGACATCTTTTTTGCCCCGCCTATCAATGTTATGCATATTGTCGAGGTTTATAGGCGCTCTAGGAATATATTGTACGCAACCAAATTGACGAAGCACACGATCAATCGGATGCCACTCGACAATAGCATAACATATAAGAGGCACAACCGTCATCCATACATCTAATTGTCCACTCAAGTTAGGTGGGAGACAAACCCTTATTTCATTCGTCGCATAAGGGGTCCATTGAAACTAAAAAAAAATATATAATTATTATAAAAAATAATATTCCAACTATATAACAATAATTAAATCTAAATATTAAAATTTAAATACGTACCTCTGTACCAATTTTTTGGTCAATGAGTAAGCGAATTTCTTCCAATTCATCAGGTATAGCTCGATGATTTTTCCTTGTTGATGACCATCTATTCAATATAAAAAATATATTTCATTGTATACTCAACAAAATTATTTATATACGAATTCAGCATTGGAATTACCTTAACAACAACGGGAAGACAAACGGTTCATTCACAACCGGACATAAAAAAGGCATGCGATACCACGCCCATGATTGGAGAAGAAGGAGACAACCACCAATAGCAGTTTTTTGATAATCTGTTGCCCGACACATTTCTTTAAACAAAAATGCCAAAACTGCGGAACCCCAACTCAATGTGCCGGCTACTCGAAAATCAGTAAGGTGACGCAACCACATACAATGAACTTTGTTGCGAGATTTGTCGGGCATCAAGATCCCTCCTATGACTCGTAATATGTACGCTCGTGCAAATGCTTTAGCCTCATCCTCAGAACAGTTTTCATTCAACTGTTGAAAATTTGATTGCAGCCATGCTAACGGTATTCGACCACCGTTGAACTCAGGCGGAATACCTCCAAGATATTCCTCGCACAACGAATGCCAATCACCATCTGCCACACCACAAATAACATTTCCGTCTACCGGAAGCCCCAAATGCATAGAAACATCTTCCAGCGTAATGGTGCACTCCCCACACGGAAGATGGAATGTGTGTGTCTCTGGTCTCCACCTCTCAATTAGTGCAGAAATAAGGATAGGTTCAAGTTTACAACCTCCTCCAATTTTGGCTATATAACCAAATCCAGCCTCGTCTAAATACCTCCAGATAGGACGCGGTATGTCCATCTTAGCGTTACGGATAAACAATTCTAATATACGATCATTTTCCTAATTAACAAATAATCTACGAATTAAAATTTAAACTAATACTAAAAAATTTAAACTAATAAAATATTCAAAATAATTAAAACAACATAATTTAATATTGTTACCGTATCAGTAAAATGACTCGAGATATGATTTGCATCCAATCGTAACATCTCACATTCCATTTTACAACTATAAAAAATAAAAAAAATAGTTATTAGAATAAAATATTAACTAAATATAATATAATAAAATAAAAATTAGATTTTTACCTCCTAAATACTCTCGGAAAGCCTACTTGAAGCAAGATTTAAGAACAAGAAGAGAATAATATTTTTGAGTGTGATTTGAGCGAAGGAGAGGAAGAGTATTTATAGAGGGAGAAGATGTAGGCGGAAAATTTAAATAATTAATAAAAATTAAATGAAAAGGACGCTCCTTCCCTATAATTCCGCAAAATATCATCCAAAAACGTGTTTGACAGAAAATGTCTGAAAGGCGCGTTTCCTGCGACGCGCCTTTACCTGATTTTTGAATAAAAAAATGGTGGAAAACAATATCTTTCTGAATCTGAGTAACCAGTAACCACTTCCAATCCACCATATTTCACTACCAAACTCTCTCTTCATGTTCTTTGCTCCCCGTTAAAGGGCAGTTCTTGATGGTTTTTTGGATCTATAATCCGTGATTTTGGGTGATGGGTTTATCGTTTTAAAACTGGGAAAATTAGGTTGGAAAAAAACCCAGACTTTGTTTTTTTCCACCTTCAAATGTGGGGTTTTCAGTAGACGCTAGTTCTTGAGTTCATGTTTTGAGAAAGATGGGATCTGGAAATGGGTTTTTTGCAGCTCAAGATTTGAGTATAGAGTCTAAGTGGTTGATTGATCCTCAGCAGCTTTTTGTTGGTCCTGAGATTGGAGAAGGTGCTCATGCTAAAATCTACGAAGGAAAGTAAGTCATAGTTTTTCCTTGGAATTCTGATTATTTCGATTTAGTACTACTTTTGGACTAGAATGTAACTTTTTGAACTGTTTTGGGTGTAAATTTCATTGATAATTTGTGCAAATGCTTAATGTTTTAATCCATTTTGATTGCATTTAAATATAAAAAACCAGACTGTTGCCATTAAAGTTGTTAGAAGAGGGGAAACTCCTGAAGAGATTGCAAGGAGAGAAGGGAGGTTTGCAAGGGAAGTTGCTATGTATTCCAGAGTTCAACACAAAAATCTTGTGAAGGTTATTCGATTCATTAATTACGATTCGATCGGTTTCCTGTTGTCGAATACTCGAAGTCGTTATGTTCGTTGTTGTGGTGACTGTGAATTATCTGCAAATCATGAAGTTTTCAGATTCGAGTTTTTTTTGTTTGTGTTGCGGTTTATTGGAGCTTGCAAGGAGCCTATCATGGTGATTGTGACCGAGCGACATTGCTTAAATACCTTCTGAATATGCGGCCAAAGTGCTTGGACATGCGTGTGGCGATTGGGTTCGCACTTGATATAGCTCGTGCGATGGAATGCTTACACTCTCACGGGATGATTCATCGGGACCTGAAACCTGGTATGACTGTAACCGTTCTTGGTGCCGTTATATATCCGATTTGAGTTACAATTTCGACGAATTGTTATGGAATTAATCTAGAGTGGTCTGCAATGTATTTCATCTCTTTTCTTTCGGATTGTTTGACGGATAGGAAGCATGTTATCGGACATAATGAATTCAGTACCAGTGTGTCAATGTTCCATGTTTGTTGAACTGCAACTGAGGATGTGATTCCGGGCAGGGCTAACATAGTACCGGGGATAAACGAAGTCCAATTATAATTGTTCGGGAGGTCGAATGAGGCTTCTACCTTTTACCATTTTTGTGTTAGACAATTCTTAGAATTAAGAGAGCTTTGAGGAGCTAAGGGGGCCTAGTCCCCTGCCAACCCTCCATTGGATCCGATCCTGCTTCCATGGTGACGGATAATTGTTCAAACAAAGTAAAAATAAAGCGTCTTCGTTTATCGTTGTCTGACTTGAATATCAAGACACTGAACAAAAATCTACATTGATTAGTACACTGTATATTTGGCATATGTTGATTAGTACACTGGATATTTGACATACGGTATTTCCTTTATTAGAATACGGCTTAACCTTTGGGATATGAGATTGTTTCGCGTGGTTAAACCTATAGCGGCATAAATACGATCCTAGTTGTTTTTGGTCTAATTTTGTGCTCCTACTTGCTGGATACATGGTTTCATACTGTATAGCAAGTCTCGGTTTAACTAAGACCAACCGAGCCGTAATTATTTTATAATGATTTATTGTCCAAGGAATATTGTCTAGTTAAATTGACTTTGATCCTGATAAATTCTCTCGTTTTGCAGAGTACTTGATCTTGACTGAAGACCATAAAACAGTTAAACTAGCGGATTTCGGCTTAGCCAGAGAAGAGTCGTTAACAGAAATGATGACTGCTGAAACCGGGACGTACCGATGGATGGCTCCTGAGGTAATGAGCTGAATTATTTGGAACTCAAATTGGGTATCTTTTTCCTATAAATTTCGGTTTTCATTTTGCTGACGATCTCGTTCTTCTGTGCAGGGTGTCGAACCAGCAAGTCCAGATTCTCAAAGTCATTCTTGACCAATTTAGTAGATTTTCCAGGCACAAAGTCAATTACAACAAAACCATAGTGTTCTTTTCGGCCAACATGGATAATAGATTGACGGTTAGCATTTGCAATGAGTTGGGCTTTCAACACACTGATAACCTGGGGAATTACTTGGGGATGCCTCTGGTCCATAGCAGAGTGACGAAGAATACCCTCCTCCTAGCGATGGATTATGAGAAGACCGCCCCCTTTGGAGTTGGGAACAGACCGGAGTTTGTACGGTTAGATCTACGTTTCACTACCTTGAAAGTGATCAGTGGAACGAGGCCGATAAAGTCTGGGATATAGCGTGGGATTATAAGGGACCCCAGCGGGTTAAACATTTCCTCTGGTTATCCATTCACAGACGTCTTATGACTAATGTTGAAAGGGCGAGGAGAGGTTTAAGTTGAAGCACCCTGTGCCCGGTTTGTAATAGAAGCGAGGAGTCTATCTTACATGTGCTCAGAGATTGCCATACAACTAGGAGTGCTTGGGAGCAGCTGGTTCCGAGCTCAGAGAAGTTAAGTTTCTTTTCTATGGATTTGATTGATTGGCTCCGAGCTAACCTTTACCATAACGCAGGTTGGAACCGCGCCGATTACCAGTGGCATCACCTCTTTGGCATCCTCGCTTGGAGACTCTGGAAGCATAGGAGCAATTTTATCTTCCAGGGGCGAATCTGGTCCATCCCGGAGATGATTAAATCGGCTTGAACATGGGCAAAAGCTATCCGCAAAGACAATAAAGTGGGAGCTAGACGACCTCAAAGTCAGTAGCACAATTGGCAACACCCGAACGCCAATTTGGTGAAGCTGAACACTGATGCTTCGGTGGATCGTGCAACCATGGCATCAGCGAGCGGCAGAGTTTTTAGAGATAGCAATGGAGCTTGGATCACTGGCTATGCTCGCAACATTGGTCGATGTCCAATATATCAAGCTGAACTTTGGGGGAGTCCTCGATGGCTTGAATATTGCGTGGAGTAAAGGGTTCAGACACGTTCCTGTTGAGTCGGACAATATCGAGCTCGTTCGAAGAATCAATTCCACCAACCATGCTCTCGACGATGCTTTAACCCACGTTTTTCGTTTTTTCTTTGGTCGTTTGATAGTTATTTTATTTATGTTTTTTAGGGTTAGTTTTGACGACGCCCTGACTGATCAAGATTGTGTTTATTTGAAATCTTGTTGATCTTTCCTATTATAGACTTTCGGATTAAATTTGGATGCGCGATTTTGCGTTCATGGACTCACGACGCTCGACTCTTATTTACGTTCTCCGTGGTAATTGAATAGCTTAATTCCCTTTTGGGATTCGTTTTGCCGATGCAATCAGATTTGTTCGTTTCTATTTTCGTTCGAGTCTTTTGATTGAGTTTTCAATATTTTTCATGTATGATCATTATATCATCTAAAGTGGCTAGTTTCGATTTTATAGGAAAATGTCCAAATTATATATTTAATTTACGATGATAGTTACAAACTCTTATTGTAATTTTGAATATTTTCATTTTTTAATAATTCTAGCGGTTTTTATTAAAAATATATTTCAAAGAAATAAATATAATATATTTTTCATTTTTTGTTTATAAAATCAAAAATAAAATTACCAACATTTTAATGCTCCGCTTCAAAGCAGCATCCAACTAAAAGATTCTTCTCTCAACACTAACCGCGTAAGCAACAGTGGAATTTCAATGAAAATAATTAATTCTATCATAAGCCCCTAAACTTTAAAAATATTTTAATCGAGCTCGTAAATTATCGTTATCATATTAACCATGTTATTTCAATGAAAATGATAAATTGAAGTGCCAAGCTGAGAAAGATTGCCAAACCCCAAAACTAATGCAGACGGAGAAAATTCAAGTATCAAAATGAACAGATTATCAAGTTTAGGGGGTAAAAACTATATTAAACCTTTCAACCTTAACGTTTGTATTAACAAGCTTGGGAAGCAAGTAAGAATTGAAGATAATTACTAGAATGCCATGAAGCTCCTATCTCCGAAGCTGCCAAGTGGCTTGACAATATTCGGACAGGGAACTCAAATTAGTGTCCGAACCAAGCGGTTCGGGTCATTGTGTTGTCAACTGTGGGACCCACGAATAGATACATCTTATTGCGTATCACGGGTGAAAATACTTGTCAAGTTGTTCTATTATATGGATTATATCAATTTGATCCCTTTTTTATTAAATCTTACTTCATTTCTTATATAGCCTAATTTAAATTATTCACCCTATTATTAAATAGGAAAAAGGGTAACTTTTACTTATGTAGTAGAACCAATATATCACTTTAGTCCCTATCAAATTTTCACATTAATTTAGTCCTCGAAGTTTCTCAATTGTATCATTCTATAACTCTATCCCTAACTTAAAATCCTAAATTATAAAGCATAAACCCTAAACTATAACTATAATACCTCTAAACACTAACTTAGGGTTTATAATTTAGGGTTTTAGTTAGGGAAAGGATATAGAATGAAGCAATTAAACAACTTTGATGGCTAAATTGATGTGAAAATACGATAGGGACGAAAATGATAAATTTGATTTATTATAGGACAAAGGTGACCTTTAAACCTATTAAATGTATCAATTTAATCATTACATTACTAAGATTTAATACCAAATTTTACACTTACGATGTAATGGAATTTTCATTTTGACCCTTTTATTATTATTATTTTATCAATTTACTCCCTGAACATTCATTATGCTACCACGTTATCCCTTCATCAGTATTGATGTGGTCTAATGACATTTCATTTAGGGATGATTATGGGTTGTGGTCTAATTTTTTTGAGGTAAACTATGCATTTGGTACCTAAACTATCAGGTTTTATCCGTTTTAATATTTAAACTTTTAATCTTTTCAAAACCTTACCTAACATTTAGTTTTTGTTTCATTTTAATACCCATGTTAAATATTTAACGTTAAACATTTGAAAATATTGAAAGTTTATGTACTAAAACGGATCAAAAATGATAGTTTAGAATTTACCCTTTTTTATTTATAGTTATTTCATATTAAAAAATAATTTTAAAACCATTCTTAAACAGTAAAGTATTAAATATATAAAATAATGATTTTATTCTGTTCAATTTTACTAATACAAGGAAAAATAAATTCATTTAATAGATTGAGTTGATCCATATAATACAGGAAGTACTAAATTTATACAATCCTTATAACTGAGGACGTGATAAACAATTTCACCACATACTATGCGTTTCACCGAAGCTGAGGTTCCGTTTCCGAACCTCTCATACCAGTTACGAAGCAAGTTTCCCGCTTCTTCTCGCTCGATTACTTAATCTAGTGTAGCAAGAAAGGCAAAGAAAGAAAGCTTAAATAGCTTCGCTTGCACTCTCTTCATCATCTTCTTCATCTTGTCCTTGGGTTAATGGAGAGGTAAGGTTTGAGAAATTAATGATAAAATAGTTGAATAATCTCCGATCATGAGATTAAAGCAATCTCTTTTGCCATGTATGATGGTAGAGTTAACTGATTTTGGGTTCAACTAAAAAACCCCATTCTAAAGTGATGAATTTTATTGAAAAACATGACTTATTTTCTGGGATTTTCATATTTGTTTTTGCAGAAGCTGGCTTGTTGATAGCAGAGCGATTGCAAAGAAAGTAAAGAACGCTTCATTCTCATCTTCCATTGAAATCACTGATTGTGGGGCAAATCGTGAATGCCCCAACTGCCATTGCCGTATCGACAACAGTGATGTAAGTTTGAAGGTCGAATTTTGGGGTTTGTTATGGTTTTCTTACATATGTGTGTGAATGTCGTCGATAATGTCTTTGGGGTTGTTCTATTTTTTTTTTAGGTTTTTCCTCGATGGCCTGGTCTTCCAATAGGAGTGAAGTTCGACCCGTCTGATGCAGAGCTTTTAGACTATTTAGCAGCTAAATGCGGGGTCGGAGACTCGAAAGAACACCCGTTTATCGACGAGTTTATCCCGACGCTAGACGAATGTCAAGGGATTTGCTACACTCATCCGGAAAATCTTCCAGGTAAATGCGTTTGTGGATTCAATATGCTGGTGTTTTTGCATTCCTGTCATGTGTAGGATGAATTGAGTTTTTCAAATTAGATGCTTATATTGAAATAGGACTAATGGTATTACAAATTAGAGGTCCCGGGGACCGGTACGAGAGGTTCGATAGCGGTAGACTATATGATGAATTCGGTTCACCGGATTAGATGATCATGTTGAATATAGAATTGTCAGTGTTATGCATTTGATGTTACTCAAAGCAAGTAGGCTACAAACTCCTCAATGACATTATTCCTATGGTGCTGTTCTTGGTTCATCTTGCGAGATTCGGAGTTTACGATAACAGCCAGCTTGTTTTGGATTCGATATTTTAGCTTTATTCACATTGCTGTTGAGTTAGATGGTTATGATGAAAATAGAATCGTTAGTGTTATGCATTCGATATGCAAATTAGATGCTTATATTGAAATAGGACTGTTGGTATTACACATTCGATGAAACCAGAAACTTGCTTCGGGACCGGTATGAGGTTCGATATTCTTATTCTGTACATTGCCGTTGACTGTAGGATGAATTCGGTTCACTGGATTACATGATCATGTTGAATATAGAATTGTCAGTGTTATGCATTTGATGTTACTCGAAGCAAGTAGGCTACATATTCCTCAATGACACTATGCCCTAAGGTGCTGTTCTTGGTTCATCTTGCGAGATTCGGAGTTTACGATAATGGCCAGCTTGTTTTGGATTCAATATTTTTGTTTTTCCACATTGCTGTCGAATTAGGTGCTTATGATGAAAATAGAATCATTAGTGTTAAGCATTCGGTGTCGTGTTATTCAAAGGTTGTAGGTGACACATACTCCTCGATTACATTGAGTTCTCGAGGTGTTGTTCATGGTTAATCTTGGGAAATTCGGAGTTAACGATAATAGAAAGTCGATAATGCAAGCTTGATTTGGATTCAACCAGATGACAGATAGTGCATAAGTTTGATTCTCATCACTTCGTCTCGATTTTGTGCAGGTGCAAAGAAGGATGGCAGTAGTATCCACTTCTTTCATCGGACGATTAATGCGTATGCAACTGGTCAGCGAAAGCGCCGGAAAATCCACAATGTAGATAACACGAATGAGGAGCATGTTCGTTGGCATAAGACGGGAAAGACCAAACCCGTTATAGAAAACGGGGTTCATAAGGGGTGGAAGAAGATCATGGTTCTCTACAAAAGTTCGAGGAAAGGGTGCAAACCCGAAAAGTCGAATTGGGTAATGCATCAGTATCATCTAGGGGATGAAGAAGACGAGCATGACGGGGAATATGTCGTTTCGAAGATTTTCTATCAACAGCAGAAACAAACTGAGAAGAATGACGACAGCCCGATAACTGAAGAACCGGATAACTTGATGATTCGCACTAGTCCAAGGACCCCGAAAACAATCACTCCTAATCCACCTCGGCCATCTAAGTCAATGCTATATGATGACATTGAAGATAATATGCACCAGGTATTTATCTGTCTTTATCGAACTATCGATGTTTTACAGCTTCGATTGCCACAGGCACACTCGCACACACCTATCAATGCGCATTGAAATGAACCTCTCATTCTCCGCTTGGATGAAACAAATTATCGACATTGAAATGAACCAGATAATTAAGCATGATGAAATGTCAAACTCTTGCATCATAATAGACATGAAGGATCTCATGGAAGTTCATTTTGATGAATTAGGAAGCAAAATTTGGTGTAGAAGAATCTCATCTACCTAAGGATTCTGTTCAATGTGAGGATAATTCGAACTATCCGGCATGGCTGGCCGCAGAATCTCAGGCTGCCGAAAATTCTGATTTTGATGGTTTGGATGATTTTCTTCTATGCAATGAGCTTTTGGATTCGTCTACTCTGCTAACGAGTTCAGTAAAGAACCGAGTCTCTAATGCCGATGGTACAATCGAGACGAAAGGAAATAACGATGTAGCGTGCGGACTTTCTGAGCTCGAGAACTTGGAGTTCGATACACCGCCTGATGTACCACTAGCTGTAAGCATCTTTTCCTACATCGATTTGTTTGCCTCCTCGAGATTTCATCATGCAATCATCTCGCATCGATTTTTGCCTGCAGGATCTACAATTCGGCTCTCAGGAAAGCATTCTTTCGTGGTTAGACCGATTATGAAGAACTAATATGATGCAGAATCTGCATCCCCGTCGACCAAAGTCCATGTTTTGATCTCGTTTATTGTCTCACCGAAGCTGTTTCCACGTCGAGCACTTCATAGGCCTAGACAACGTTTGTTTTGCTTTCGGGGACATAGCTAATTCGTTCGTTCGTCCTCGGTTTCTTCATTCAAGTCAGTTTGACGCTTGTTTCATCCCGCATCTGCCAGTTCGAAAATCGTGTTATAGGCTTAAACGTACGATCCATGAAGCGAGAAGCGTCCGATTTCCGAATCCGGGGCTGGCTAGTTGAGACAGCATTTAAGGTTATGTTATGAGGAAAGATTGAAATGTTGTTTCCATGGGACCAACATGTAAGAAACAGAAACATTTGGTGTTGTATTGGAACTAAAATTTGTTTCTACGGCATTATTACAATCTGCTACATATAAGAAACACAAACTTCTGCATTTACAGTTGATGTAGTGTAAGATATCTATGCCCGTAAATGAATCGAACAAACACGAACGGGTGTATGTTCATGTTCGTTCGTTTAACTTTAACCGAACAAATGAACGAATACGAATATAAACGAACAAAAAATTTATTGTTCGTGTTTGTTCGTCAAGGAATGTAGCTTGTTCGTGTTTGTTCATTTAAATGATAAACGAACACAAATGAACGAACATAAACGAACGGATGTAATTGAACATAAACGAACACAAACGAACGATCGTAAACAAACACAATAAATGAACAAAATAAAGTAACATAAACCACAACAACAATAATCAATAAAATTCATAAGTATAAGTTGCAACTTCATAGTTAATTTGTATTTAATTGTTACGGGTTTATTTTATTTGTATTTAAAATTAATTGAATTTTAAAATATTTATGGGTATTAGATTCAAATTTATTGGGCCTTAATATTTCAAATGGATCTAAAGAGATTGGGCTAAACATAAATGAACGAACATATTATCGAACGTTCACGAACATAAATAAACGAAACAACCCTTTTGTTTGTGTTCGTTCATTTAATAAACGAACACAAAATCTTATTCATGTTTGTTCGTCTAATAAATAAACGAACTTCCCGTCGAACGGTTCACGAACAATTAGTTGAAGTTGAGTTCGTTTACAGGGCTAAAGATATTTAACTCCTTTAGTGTGTGTGGAATGTTGAAGTTCCATTCTTGTCTTGTTTGAATGCACACGATCTGTTTTGTTTTTTCAGTTAGGTCTTTCAAGGCCTTGATGAAAGTTCTTGGCTGTGTTTTCAAGGGTAAAGTACACAAATGATTCATTGATTATAGGGTGATGTTTTATCCAGTCCCTCGATTATTAAAAGTTAAAAAATGATCCTTTGACTACAAGGTGTTGTTTTGTTGAGTCTCCGACTATTAAAAATTATAAAATAGTCATCCGATTAATGCCACAATATTAACCTTGTTGCTCATTTTTAACCGTGAAAAAACAAGACCCATTTTTCAGCAAAATCATGGTTTTTGAAACCAATACCAATGTTATCATTCCTTTTGGGCAATTTTGTAATTTCATTACAAAAAATGAGTGATTTTCTGTCAAAATTCATAGTATCACATAATTTTGTATTTCCTTGATTCTGAAATGACCCAGAAGATTGGTTGGTTTATGGTTGCACTTAAAGCATAAGATGATGACTCAATCCACCTGTCCATTAATGCTCATTATCAACATATATATATATATATATAGCTCGTAAAAAGATTTGTATACGTGTGAAGTTTTACATTATGTAAGTGGATAATTCGGAATTATGGTCAATGGAAGAACCAAAAGCAGACCCCTTTCCGGTACCGACAAACTTGTAATCGAAGACATTTATAGGACGCTGTTCTGTCTAGACTCACCCATGTTCTCTCACGCAGTTGCCGGGTAAAAGATACTTGTATTTCTCGGCATTGTTCAACAGATACGCGGGAAGATGGACCGAGTGAGGGATAGGTCTCATCTTCTCGATTATCTCTTTGAATGTGTATTCTTCGGGAATCATGTCGAACAGGTTAGCCCCTCTGCATATTATGTCCTGAATCCTCTTGGGGTTCAAGAAGTGAGCGAATCTCACTCGATCGGTGTGGCTGTAAGCTTTCATCTTGAATATGAAGTCGCTAATATGCCGAAAGCAGAAGCTACAATGCCATCCGGCATCTGCTAAGAGGAGATCAGATTGACGGAAATGAGCGTATCTGGTTTCTCCCTTCTTGTACCTCTGAACCGAGGCTCTCCAGCTCTTGTGGTCAATGAGATACTCGAAAGAATACAAATAGTTTCGCATCTGAGGACAAAGTACAGATGGTATATCATCACACCATCTCAATAGATTAATCGTATGCGCACTCGGGATCTCGTCTACACCCGACATTATCAATAAATCATCATCTTCTATACCTGCGAGTCTGAGAAGCTGGTCCAATGCAACTCTCTGGTATGCCTCCTCCACAAAAGGGTTTTCACCCTTCTTGAATCTCCCACCAATGGTACCATACGTCAAGCGAGGCTCGATAAATTTAAATTCCTCTCTGCTGCGAGCAAACCTCAACGGCTTTGGTAGGCCGATGAAAGTCGAGTTGGACTCGAGAAGCACGGATTGCGTAACATACGGATACAATTCATTCCAACGAATCGCGGCATGTCTATTCATTGCTGAACAACACCGCATCGAAGACTCGTGGAGGGTTGCTGCGAGCAAACCTCAACGGCTTTGGTAGGCCGATGAAAGTCGAGTTGGACTCGAGAAGCACGGATTGCGTAACATACGGATACAATTCATTCCAACGAATCGCGAGCATGTCTATCTCATTGCTGAACAACACCGCATCGAAGACTCGTGGAGGGTAGTCCCGGACTTTCCAACCGTGGAGATGGCAGAGCGTATCCATCGTGACATTCTCGTGATAATAGTGAGGCAGTTCGATAAAAGGTTTAGGGGTGATTCCCATAGTGGTCTCCGGAAATAAGTGATCTTCTGTCCGTGAAAATATAGGCCGAAAATCGACCGCGAGACGACGACGAGCAGGAAAATGTAAGTCCTGATATCGGAACCCGGCAACATACACCGCAATCTCGATACCGTCACCGCCACTCGGGATGCCTGCGGCGGATTAGAAAATGAAAAAAAATCATTAGAGATATCCAGGTTTAAGCACAGTACTAAAGCATTTTACAATCTTCATCCAACATGATAAATAAAATACACAAGAACAGGGACTGAAAATTTTAAATTCTATGATCTATTTAGTCCCTAAAATTTTATAAATTCACCCCTAACGTAGAATCGTATGTCCGTCCCTGCATAAAAATTCATCATTTTCCATTCTCATGTTCATTTTCCAATCCTTGCAAATACATTGACAATCAAACGATTCAAGGAAACAAAATGGGAGAACATTAGGCCCCTAAAAGAGATTTTCCCATTTTTCAATGAATCTAAAAAAAAAAACCCAGAAATCAAAACCAAACAGCAAACATTTTCCCGAGAAAATACGATGGAAAAAAAAAGCAGAGCAAATAAATCGAAACGAAAAAACAATTACCCGTCCACAAACGTTTTCGCAAAGATCATCAGTCTTCTTGAAATTATTGTACCCATCAGACATGACTGGAAAACCCCACGAAGATTATCACTTTGTAATCACTAAATTGTTTTCCCAGAATTCAGATCAAATTGGTCTACATCAAAAGCTTAAACTTTTGAAGAAGAGAAAATCTAGAAAAACGAAAACCCAGAAAATCAACTCATTTCTCTCTTCCTCTTCTTCTTAACGTCAATTATAGGTCCGAGGATATCCTTTTTGGATCAGATATAAATCACTATTTTAAGTATCTGAAATTTTTTAATATCTGAATTTTTAGATCCGATATTAGAAATAATGATCAAAATGAAAAAGAACAATAATTAAGTAATTAAAGTTTAGCCAAGTATTTAAAGATCCATTTAAATTGTTATAAAGTAAATAAAATAAATCTACAAAAAAAAATATATAAAGAATAAAGAGAATACTTTGTATTATATTTATAACATAAAATTGTTAAAATTGGCTATTCTTTTAAACAATGCTTCCCCATATCTCGATCATAATTTTAAATTACTGTATCATAATTTTAAATTGCAATATCAATATAAGGGTGAGTAAAATTTGACTCGACTAAAAAATATTTTTTTTCAATTCGATTCGATTGGAATTAAATTCGAGTCATAATTTTATAAACTCATCTCGACTCAAAAAACTTTTAATTTCAAGTCGAGTTCTAAAATTGAACTCGAATAACTGGAATTATAACTCGATTAATTCAAAATTTTAATAATTAGTGGATTAGTTTTTAAGTTTGAGTCGAATCCTTGAACTTTATATAATATATGTATATTACATATGAAACAAATATGAAGAAATATTATATATGCATTGTACATGGTTACAGAAAGTCGTTTAAATTTGAATCAAATAGTATCATAATATTATAAATATTTATTATTAAATTAAAAAAAAAACTTAAATAACTCGGCTCAAAAAAAGTTTAAATAAAATTTGAGTTATAAAATATGATTCTTCAACACGAATAACTCAAAAAAATTTAACTCGACTCTATCGAATGCTCACCCCTAATCAGCATATTATGGGAAACCCCCGGTTCGCAAGGCTTCGCCTTGACTAGAACGGATCGACCCGGGTCGCACACCGAGATTTCATTCAAACCATATATTTATAAATGTTGGATATTGACGTAAATTTTAATTAAAATCAAGTTAAATTTTATTGTAATTCTGTTGATTGAAGATTACTTTATCATTATTGTGGTAAGATATAATCATTTTATAATATTTATAACTTATGAGATATACATTATAGAGATGAATTATATAAGAATATTGAGAGTGCTGCAGAATATGCTAAATTTTATATACATTTTAGGGTTTAAGATACATGATATATTCATGTATTTATAATCTTCGTGATATTTACCTTTATAGTAAATTATTTTTTTCTTGAAAATAATGCTAAATTTGTACTAAGTTAAAGGTTTTTTTTACATTAAGTTAAGGTGATTATAAAGTAGTATATGTTTTAAATATTCTTAAATCATTTGACAATTAATTCCCAATCACCCATGCTGCAGTCGCTAGTGTTCGAACCCGATACCTCTAAGAATAACAATCATTAACTGAGGAAATTTAGTTCATGCTACTTAGTTAAAGTTATGTGTGTGTGTTTTATAAATGGCTTAAGGGCTACTTTTATCCCTGCAGTAAATTCAATTTATCATCGTCGTTCTTATAACATTTTTACATCAATTTATCACTTGAAATTGTTTAATTGCATAAATGTTTAAAATATTTTTTATCATTTAGGGTTTTAAGTTAGGATTTAGGGCT